ACACACACACACACACACTGCAGACCAGCAGCACCTCACACACCGGCACCGCTGCGGTTTGTTTTCTTCTGGACCAGTTCGGGAGGAAATAAGAGCAGAAATAATGAAACAAGTTGTTTGTGTTGCAGAAAGAAGAAAAAGCAGCGCGGGAAAAATCAAAGCATCAAAAGTTGGATTTTTTTTTATTGAGTTTTTTTTTTACTTTTTATGTTTATATTTTTGTTCCACATCGAGCTGAAGTCAGTGTAGAAAAAGTGGAGCGCGTTGATTGGAGACTGAAGGTTTGATGGATGAGCTAATTGCGTGTTGTCTGAGCTGAGGGAGGGGGGGAGGGGGGAGCCGTAAGTGGACCTGGTCCAGATTTGGAGAGGAGGAGGGGGACTTCGTCACTGATTTCTGTGAGATTTGTTGGCGCATGAGATGAGAAACGGTGTGTGTGTGTGTGAGTGTGTGTGTGTGTGAGTGTGTGTGTGTGTGTGGGGGGGGGGTGCAGAGGGAGGGAAGATTTATGAAATGATAGGTGGTCGACTTTTGTTTCTCTGGACTCCTGCGCGCAGAAAAAAAGTCCCACCGATTTCCTCCAAGGCGCTCGGTGGCCTCGCGCGTCACACAGCGCCACTTAGCGCCCGCGTGACACCCAGAGGAGCCCACCCCACGGAGGGTCCAGCTACAGCCCCGGACACTCAGTCTGCAGTGGATAACCAGCCCCCCCCCTCCTCCTCCTCCATCACTCTCCCTTCCTCTTCCTCTCTCTGTCAGTGCGTACCCGCTGTGCGTCAAAAGGAGCTCGGTGCGTAACGGGACCTTCGTGCGTAACTGGAGACAGACTCCTCTCCATTTTGCGCTCAGGGTTCTGGGGACCACTCGCTGGGTCTCGGCGGTTATTCCTCTCTCTCTCTCTGTCCACGCGGCTGTGCGTCAGAGCTGASATGACTACAGAGACCCCTCAGCAGCAGCTGGACCCTCCGCTCAGATCCAGCCCGGGGTCCGGAGTCCTGCACCCCGCCATGCTCAGCTCGCAGGCCGCCGCGGAGAGCTCGTCCGCGGGCGTCAAAGGGAAGAAGGCGAGCTCGGGTCTGAGGCGGCCGGAGAAGCCCCCCTACTCCTACATCGCCCTCATCGTCATGGCCATCCAGAGCTCCCCGACCAAGAGGCTGACCCTCAGCGAGATCTACCAGTTCCTGCAGGCCCGCTTCCCGTTCTTCAGGGGCTCCTATCAGGGCTGGAAGAACTCGGTCCGGCACAACCTCTCGCTCAACGAGTGCTTCATCAAGCTGCCCAAAGGCCTGGGCCGGCCCGGGAAGGGCCACTACTGGACCATCGACCCGGGCAGCGAGTTCATGTTCGAGGAGGGCTCGTTCCGGCGCAGACCCCGCGGCTTCAGGAGGAAGTGCCAGGCCCTGAAGCCCATGTACCGGATGATGAACGGGATCGGCTTCGGGACCTCCATCCTCCCGCAGAGCTTCGACTTCCAGCCCCCCTCCAGCCTGGCCTGTCACGGGAACAGCTACAACCTGGACATGATGAGCAGCTCCATGGCGGCGGGGTACGACCACCACGTCCCCCACATGTCCCCGAGCCCCGGCTCCACCTACATGGCGAGCTGTCCGGTGCCGCCGAGCGGAGACTACGGGCCGGACAGCAGCAGCAGCCCGGTCCCGTCCTCCCCCGCCATGGCCAGCGCGCTGGACGGACACTCCCCGTACGCGGGCACGTCCGCGCACTGGGCGTCCTCCGGCGGGCCCCCCTACATCAAACAGCAGCCTCTGGCCTCCAGCAGCCCGGCGGCCTCCGGCCTGCACTCCGGTGTGTCCCACTACTCCCTGGAGCAGAGTTACCTCCATCAGAACGGCAGGGACCACTCCGACATCTCAGGTACCAGAACCGGAACCGGACCGAGATTTCAGTTCTCAGGACAAAACAGGCATTAATCAGATTTATTACATTTCATTTTAAATTATGAAAATGTCCAAAAAATATCTGATTAAAATTATTTATTTGTTCCAATAAATATTTGAATTTATAATTAATTTGAGTTTTAATTTATTTCCACTCATTAATGAGGCGCGTTTCATAAAATATCTGCACCGGAAGTGAGTTAAATTCTTCCTTAAAAGTTTAAAATAAATGCAGATTTTTTATTTAGATTTAATGAGATTTAAATGATTTTTATTCTGAAGAGTTTTTCAGGTTTTCCTCCTGTCAGCCTTCACGGGTTATTCATTCAGAAATAAAGAAAAACAGCTCCGCGCCTCATTTCCTCCAGCAGGGCTTTGACTGAGGGGGGTCTCAGGGGGTCTCAGGGGTTACTTAAACAAAGGCCGCGCAGGTCGGACCACACCGGCTCGCGGAGGGCCTGTGAGGCGGGCGCGCGGACAGAGGACAAGACCTGCGGTCCTCCACCTGAACCACATCTGGACCTGATGATCCGGAGGACCTGCAGGTTCTCTGGGTCCGGATTAAAACCGGATTAAAACCGGATTAAAACCGGAT